CAAAGCCACACACACACACACAAAGCCACACACAACACCACACACACACCAACACACACACACAACACACACACACACACCACCAAAGCCACACACACACAGCTGCATTGACCTGTCTTGACCTTAGCCCTCGCCACAGACCCGCCCATCCGTCTTGGATAATTCTAATACTCACTCTAACGTGTAGGCCACCAAACGCACACATATATACATACACACAAACGCACATGCAGAAACACACATAAACACAATAATTGAAACACACGTATACACACACACACACAAAGACAGGCACACAAAGACACACACAGAAACAAAGATACACACACACACACACAAACACACACACACACATACACACACACATACACACAACACAAAGACAGACACATAAAGGCAACACATACACACATAATGCACACACACACAAAAACACACACACACACATACACACACTTACAAAACACACACACACACCATTCTAACCCCCCCTACCCCCCTACCACTACCACCTCCCCCCCCCCTTCCCCCGTGGTAATAATAACAGGGTCATAACTTCTGAATATTTTGTCCCGACTCTATATTCGGTAAATAACTCCATTGCATGTTGAAACCCTGTCCTGGATGAGCGGCCGTTGCTGTTTTTTAAAATCCGGATGAAACTTTTTTTTTCTTTTTTTTCGAAACTTTTTTTTTCTTGTTTTTTTCTATTTTTCGAAACTTTTTTTTCTTGTTTTTTTTCTTTTTTTCTTCTTCTTCTTCGTCGTCGTCGGCTGTTTCGCGAAAATTAATTCAATTTAATTACTTTTGAAGATTTAATTGCAAGTGGCGAGCTAGGTCGAAAGCGCGAAGGTGGGGGAAAGAGAGGAGGAGGGGGAGAGGGGAGAGGGAAGAGGGGGAGGGAGGGGGAAGAAGGGGAGAGGGGAGGGTGGGGGAGAGAGAGGAGGAGGGTGGGGGAGAGGGGAGAGGGAGAAAGGGAAGAGGGGAGAAGGGGAGAGGGAAGAGGGGAAGAAGGGGAGAGGGGAGGGTGGGGGGAGAGAGAGGAGGAGGGGAGAGGAGAGGGAGAGGGGGAGAGGGGAGAGGAAGGGCGTAGATGAAAATGGAGATAGATGAGTTTAAGTAAAGGTTTATATATACGTGGCTGCATTGAGAGATAAATATTGGAGTTAAAATGAGTAGACACAAAGATGGCCATCTCGGAAATAGTAAAGAGGAGTGATAAAGAAGGGAACGTAGAGGAGGAGAAAAGAAGAAAGAGGATGATGGAGTGGAGAGAGATAGAGAAAAAAGGATAATATAAATAAGAGGAAGACGGTAAAAAGACGGGAGGAGAGGCAAGCGAAGAGGATAAAAGAAGTTGGAGGAAGGGGTGAGGGGAGGAATCGAGGAGGGGGAGGCGAGGAGGGGGGAGGAGAGAACGAGGAGAGGGGGAGGAATCGAGGAGGGGAGGGGAGGAAGAGAGGGGAGGAGAGGAATCGAGGAGGACGAAGGGGAAGAGGAGAGGGGAGGAGAGGGAGGAAGAGCCGAGGAGGGGGGGGGAGGAACCGAGGAGGACGAGGAGGGAGGAGAGAGGGGGAGGGAGGGTATACCACACCTACTAGTAATATTTCCCTTAAACTGTGACTTTGAGGAACTGCAACTTTCACGCACCATTTGATCCACACACACGGCTAAGGCGGGACTACCGGGGCAAGAAAGTGCCATTCACCGCCGGGCTCGAAGGCCAACCACCCGTACTCTTACCAGGCACCCGTCAACCTTACAGACCCGGCGGACTTGCGCCGAACCCCGCCGCTCTCCTGCCCGGGGAAGACCGTAAAAAATGGCAACTTTTAAATTCCTTAAATATTCTAGTCTTTTGTTGTACATCCGCGATGCTAGATGGATGGCCTTGCTCTCCGTCGCGCGCCGCCTTATCGGCCGAGTTATCTACGGCTTTATCAGGATTTTTATAGGTGACCCGAGCGCCGAGCGACTCCGCCTCGGGGGGACGCGCACTGCCCGCCGCCCTCGGACTCCGTAATTCTCGGAGGTTTTTATTGGCTTCCCGAATACACAAAGAGAGGAGAGAGAGAGAGAGGAGAGAAGAGAGAGAAAGAGAGAGGGAGAGAGGGGAGGGGGGAGGGAGAGAGAGAGAGAGGGAGAGGGAGAGAGAGAGAGAGAGAGAGAGAGGAGAGGGGGGAGGGAGAGAGGGAGAGGTAGAGGAGAGAGAGAGAGAGACAGACAGAGAGACAGAGAAAGAGAGAAAATCTATGATATATTTATATATTATCATTTGATTTGCTAAATCGTAATTTCTCTATAATTTGCTTCTCGGTAAGTCTACGTGTGTGTGTCTTAACGGGAGCATGTGCGTGCGTGCGTGTGCGTGTGCGTACGTATGTGCACACGCGACTTGCACATTCAGTCATCTCTATTTAAAGTGACGTCTAACTAACACCGGCGTGACAAAGGAATTTGGCCCTTAGTTCATTAGTCTTCTAGGGTGATGTCAGAATGT